TTTTTTTTTTTTTTTTTTTTTTTTTTTAAGGTGTGGAAATCTGTATTGCAACACCTGGAAGACTGATTGACTTTTTAGAATGTGGAAAAACCAATCTGAGAAGAACAACCTACCTTGTCCTTGATGAAGCAGATAGAATGCTTGATATGGGCTTTGAACCCCAAATAAGGAAGATCGTGGATCAGATAAGAGTAAGTGCCTTCATATTTTTTAAACTCATTTTAAATTTATTCTGGATACAGTCTAACCCCTCCCCCATCTCTTAGCCTGATAGGCAAACCTTAATGTGGAGTGCAACTTGGCCAAAAGAAGTAAGACAGCTTGCTGAAGATTTCTTAAAAGATTACATTCATATAAACATTGGTGCATTAGAACTGAGTGCAAACCACAACATTCTTCAGATTGTGGATGTTTGTCATGACGTGGAAAAGGATGAAAAGTAAGTATAAGTTTACGACTTTTTAAGAACACTAGTTGCTGTTTCATAAGTTGTATCTGTTATAAATTGCTTGGAATAATGTGAGTGGATATATTTAAAATTAGTTTGGGATAGGTTAAGTGGTACATGCCTACAGTTTTAGCATTGTGGGAGACTTAGGCAGAAAAGGGTCAAGTTTTGAGCCAAGCCTGGACAGCTTAGCAAAAGGTTGTTTCAAATGGGTTGAGGCTGTAGCTCTATTTCTGTAGCTCAGATATAGTCGAGTTCAATGCCCAGGACCGTGAAAGAATTTCACATCTTTCTGTTAACCAGATGAAAAATAAAAGGAATAAATCTGGGGATTTAGCTCAGTGGTTCTGCCTGCCTCCCAAGCACAAGGCACCCAAGTTGGATCCCCAGTACCCAATAAAAAATAAATCTGACTGAATGTTTAGCTGTAGCTATAGATTTCCTTTTAAAATACATAAATTTTATTTCTAGGCTTATTCGTCTAATGGAAGAGATCATGAGTGAGAAGGAGAATAAAACCATTGTTTTTGTTGAAACAAAAAGAAGATGTGATGAGCTTACCAGAAAAATGAGGCGAGATGGGTATGTGAGTTCTTCTCTGTTGAAACCATTTGGGAAAGGGCAAACTTAGATCAGAAGCAATGGATAGGAGTTTCATCTGGGGGGATCTTGTGATAGTACTAAAAGCTACTCCAGGTGAAATTAATAGGTTTTTAAAATGTCTCCTGATCTTTTAGGTGGCCTGCCATGGGTATCCATGGTGACAAGAGTCAACAGGAACGTGACTGGGTTCTAAATGGTAAGTATTATAAAATAAAATTCTGTTAACTTGAGATTTCTGTTCAGGTTAACAGTCATAATATGTGTATATATTTACCTTCTTTTTTGTTTGTAGAATTCAAACATGGAAAAGCTCCTATTCTGATTGCTACAGATGTGGCTTCCAGAGGGCTAGGTTAGTACAAACTCGCATTCATGGCTTGGTTTTCCAGAAGATCTCTGTAGTTTTTTAAAGAAAGTTTATTGCTTTCTTTAACCTCTGCGTTTTTTCTAAGTTTTTTTCGCATAAAGGTGCAGTCTTTGTGGCAAGGCCTAGGCATGACAATCGGAGGACTCGAGGGGGATGGAGGACTAGTGATCGGCTGGCTGCTTCCAGTCGATTAGAGAAGTGAAAAGCTGAACGTGTGCCAGTAATCTTCAAAGGGCAGAACATACCACCTCTGCCCCATAAACTGTTCTCTCCGGGGTGGGGAATGGAAGTTACCCTCACAGTTCACTGCCGTGGTATTTCTTCTGTCCCATGCTTTGCATGATTGCCATGGTACAGCATTGTTTCAAACTGTTCACTGTGATCTGTGGGTCTTTGAGTTTCAGTGAGTTTGCTGAAATGTCGAAGAAATATTTCCAAACTTCAATGTTCAATGAAATTTTTGTTCAAGTTTGAAATGGAGAGAGCAGCTTTAAAAGGTACTAAGCCTTTTACAAATTGGTGAGTACTGGCACATGAGACCTAGAGCAGGCGCAACTTCTCACACTTAAGTCAGTGGGAAAAGCAGTGCTTTGAAAGTTCCTCCCTCAGCCTACACAGTAGTCGTCATGTCGAGACCTGCCAGAGAGAGACACATTCTCAAGTGAATCCTGGCTTCTTGGAAGCGCTTGCCTAGACGAGACACTGCATAAAAACAACTTTTGGGGGACAGGTATGTTTTTCTTGCAGCTGCAGTTTTAAGGTCTTGGCAAGACAAGCAGTGTGGCCAGAATTTTGAACTTGTGATAAGTATGTGATGCAAAGGACCTTGTACATTTAATGGTCCTCCAAAGAGCACATGAAGAGGTTGCTGTGAAACTTTTAAGTGGCCCTACTGCGCAGAAGCATTCAGATGTCACTTGATGATCTGTAAAGGGGACTTGTTGATTTGGGAATCCGCTAGGGAGAATACACATTCCTTTCGACAGACTGTATCACTGGGTGGGAAATGGCTTGACACAGATTACATGTGCTTTTTTTTTTTTTTTCCTCCCTCCCCCCTGCCTTTTTTCCCTTTTCAACCTCAATGGTATTCCAACAGGGAATGGATAACCATTTTAACTGTATTTTTTGCAGCCCGTACCTTCTTGGGAATACAATTGTCTAACTTTTTATTTTTGGTCTGGCTGTTGTGGTGTGCAAAACTCCGTACATTGCTATTTTGCCACACTGCAACACCTTACAGATGTGGAAGATGTGAAATTTGTCATCAATTATGACTACCCTAACTCCTCAGAGGATTATATTCATCGAATTGGAAGAACTGCCCGCAGTACCAAAACAGGCACAGCATACACTTTCTTTACACCTAATAACATAAAGCAAGTGAGCGACCTTATCTCTGTGCTTCGTGAAGCTAATCAGGCAATTAACCCCAAGTTGCTTCAGTTGGTTGAAGACAGAGGTTCAGGTAAGACTAGGCTTTGGTAAGAAAAATGTTGGTTTTGGGATTACAGCATTGTCTACAAATCCATTTAAATGGGATTGGAGAGTGAGTAGAATCTTCAGAAGTGAGAATTTGAGAAATGATATAATGCATCAAACCTAGAATAAATGGAACTACCCATATTCTTCAGTTTGTGATGATTTGTGCCATAGATTTAATTGATCAATTTGCAATTGTTTTCTTAACAGGTCGTTCCAGGGGTAGAGGAGGCATGAAGGATGACCGCCGGGACAGATATTCTGCGGGCAAAAGGGGAGGATTTAATAACTTTAGAGACAGGGAAAATTACGACAGAGGTTATTCTAGTCTGCTTAAGAGAGATTTTGGGGCAAAAACTCAAAATGGTGTTTACAGTGCTGCTGCAAATTACACCAATGGGAGCTTTGGAAGTAATTTTGTGTCTGCTGGTATACAGACCAGTTTTAGGACTGGTAACCCAACAGGGACTTACCAGAATGGTTATGATAGCACTCAGCAATATGGAAGTAATGTTGCAAATATGCACAATGGTATGAATCAACAGGCATATGCATATCCTGCTACTGCAGCTGCACCTATGATTGGCTATCCAATGCCAACAGGATATTCTCAATAAGACTTTAGAAGTATATGTAAATGTCTGTTTTTCATAATTGCTCTTTATATTGTGTGTTATCAGACAAGATAGTTATTTAAGAAACATGGGAAATGCAGAAATGACTGCAGTGCAGCAGTAATTATGGTGCACTTTTTCGCTATTTAAGTTGGATATTTCTCTACATTCCTAAAACGATTTTTAGGTTTTTTTTGTACTAGACAATGCAGGCAGTGTTTTCACAAAAGTAACTGTACAGTGATTTGAAATACAATAAATGAAGGCAATGCATGGCCTTCCAATAAAAGTTATTTGAAGACTGACTTAGTGGAAATTGTACTTTATTTTACATATATGATGTCTGTAAAACTTTGCTTAGATGGTATGGGTTTTTGGGTTTTTTTAAATCATAATTAACTGCTTCTTGCCATTCTTGGGGGTAGGGTATCAAGGCCCTTTCAAAATATCTCTTCATTTTGCAAGTATTGAAATTGATCTAGGTAAATTTTTCTCTATCCCAGATAACACAAAAGCTTTTATCAGCTTCCAACATCTGGTCCCATTCATTTTAATAGCCTATTTTTCCTTATTTCTTAGAATGTTTAAATGAAAATTACCAAGGTCATGGGGAATTATTAGCTGTTGGGGTGAGAACAACATGGATGACTGTTCCTCTTTAAAATTTACAATTTAAAGAGCTTCACATAGCTTTTTCAAAAGACTATACTCATGCTTTTAGCTAGATTGTGGATTACCAAAATTTTTAAAAAGCTGAAAGACTTGATTTAGCCCAAGAGCTAAGTTTGAGTCTATGAATTGAATTTTAGTGTTTTCAGTGCAAGTTGCTTATAGATTCTAGTCTTTACAGACTTCCTGGAACTCTTAACTAGTTATACAGGGAGCCATGAATGTCTACAATAATAATTCAGGGAATTAAAGGTCTTCAAACTGTAAGGTATATTCATACTCAAATACAAGGAAAAAAAAGAAACATCAGAATGGTTGATCAAAAAATGACCAAAATAGTAGTTGAATACAGTACAGGTCTGTGTTAGGTTCAACATAAGTTCATTGCTAGAAAGGGGAGTAGCTTTAGATTCAACTTTGGCTCCCCAGGCTTTGTAATTTATTTCAGCAGTGGTTAAGAAGTAGGCCTGAATGTCTTCCCAGGCAGTCTGGTGTGTTTTACCAGGAAAGGGAGTCTCTTCCAAGAGGCTTCATTTAAATTGGTAACTAAACAGGCTTTGATTTTAATGCCTTACCTCTAAAATGTGCTGGGATGGGGGAGTGTTATTTCTAGTACTAATAACATTGAAAACTGATTATTCCGAAAACTTGAGTGGTTTTCAATGGCGTATGGTTTGTCATATTCATGATTTTTTAACTTAGGAAAAGCTTTTGGAATAGGTTGGAGCTTTTATTACATATTTTACTGTTTAATGTCGACATGAGCCTTCTAATTTGTAAACATGAAAATGACTGGGCTGTGGGGGGGAAGAAACTATTTACCTATTTAACTTTGAAGTTTTAAAAGACAGTCCACTTTTTAGCATGTGTGTTGTGTCCAGCCTGTGGTTGTCTTTAATAAATGTGATTTTTCTCCCATTCTCTCTTTTATTCATTTGTGTAAAGGCCTCCTTCCTGGTACGAGTTTCAAGTGTAAAAACTTGCTACGAGCTTTGAGCTTGATTACAGTAATCAGCCCCCCATTCTACCTCTTTCTTGCCCCCTCACCATTCACATCGCTTGTGATGAATTGTATGCGCCTGTCATACACCTTACCAGCTCTCAAATATTTTATGTAGCTCCATATTAACAAACTGCTCCGATATTTATATGCTGTCCTTTATATTCCAGTGATGCTCGTTTTTCTACTGGGCCTTAAAAGTTCCCATAACCACGATAAGGGTAGCTATCTGATAACATGGGCTTTGGCATAAACAGTTTTACTCTTGGGGTTTAAGTGGGGAATATAAAGTCAAGCCTGCTAAGAAGATGGTCTAACGTTCACAGGTTTCACTCATGTCAGGAACTCACGTGAGGGGTACCTTTGCACTCTTGGAGAGGACTTACAGCCCCCAGGGGATGTGGGTGTCGGTAGAGGACTGTCCTTTTGGAACCACAGCAGGTTAAAAGTGGACCCATGGGGAGTGGGCGTTTGGCAGCAGGCATCCACCTGAAAGACTAGAACCAAATTGTTTTCGTAGATCCCTAAGACTGGTAAGGTAAATGGTGACTTGGAGTCCCTGTGTTGGTAGCTTAGCAAGATTCAAATCTGGAGATGTAGCGTAGATCCTGAACAGAATAAATTGTGGAGAGAGTATTTTTAGTTTGATGGTAAGAACAGTAGCTACAGCACTATTGGGAAGTCAGGTGGTGGGAATAATCTATGGGTGCTGATGCGGAAGTTGGTCCGCGGTGGGTGGGTGGTTGGGGACCTGCAGAACGCCATCAACTGCTAGTCTGGGGCGGGGGGGGGTAATTCGGTAACAGCATCTGTCCACCATGGCCCTTGCGACAAGCCTGAGGGGAGCTGGCCAGAACGCCAGGACTTGCTTCCGGGGGCGGGGCCGGCTGAGTGAGCCGCTCACTTCCTTCGCGCCTGCGCCGTGGGCCCCTTCCGCCGCTACGTTTGTGGCGGTTTATTGGATGGGGCATGGTGCTCTTTAACTCTTGAAAGAGATGCGCTCAGACGCAACAGTCAGGGCCTGCCACAAAGTCTGCAGGCGACTGTTGTCTGGGTCGGGGGGTCGAATAGGTGGTGGGCAGCCTGCGCCATTGACGGAAAGGAGTAAGTCCCTCGGAGGACACCTACGGTCCCGCATGGAGCGTCCCCCGGAGAACGAGCAGACAGAGGGTAGTGAGGCGCTGCTAGAGGTCTGTCAGAGGAGGCATTTTCTTAGCGGAACCAAGCAACAGCTTAGCCGAGATTCTCTTCTGAGCGGGTGTCACCCTGGCTTTGGATCTCTGGGTGTAGAGTTGCGGAAGAATCTGGCCGCACAATGGTGGTCCTCCGTGGTCGTGTGCAGGGAGCAGGTTTTCGCGGTGGGCGCCCTGCACCACGGCCCAGGCCCTTCGCTTCCCGAGGACAGGGCCTTCAGGTTAGTTTCTGCAGAAGCTCTACGTGAAATCTTACAAGACAAAGAACTGAGTAAGGAACGGCTAGTAGCGTTGCTTGACAACTTATTAAAAACTTCTGGGACGCTACGGGAGAATCTTCTTCACGGTAGGATTCTTCGCGATTTCATGCTTCAAACAGGTTTGGGGTGGAAAGGCAAGTTCACCCAAGTTTGGGGATTGCAACTGTTAATTCCCACGCAAGGAAAGTTACCGGGATCTCATCTTTCTGAAGTCGGTTTTTTAACAGTATCCTTTTTTAAATTTTCATTTTTTATTAGTGCATATTGGTTCTACACCTTAATGGGTTTCATTTTCGCAGATTCATACATACATATAATATACTTTGATCATTTTTACCGCCGTCTCGCTCTGCCCTCCTGCCTAGTTTCACGCTTTTGTTTTCTTTTGTTTCCGGACAGGGTCTTGTTTTGTAATTCATCTAGCTTAGACTGGCTTCCATAGCCCAGACTGGCTTCAATCCCGATGCAGTCCCTCTACCTCAGTCTCGAAAATGTTGGGATTACAGGAGCGCACCACCACACCTGGCTTACTTTCACATGAGTTTCAATTTGTATGATGTACTTTGATCATGTCCATCCCCTCATTACCCACCCTTTCAGCACCCCCCTCAGTCTTTTGTCATCTAATTATGATTTCCATTCTACTTTCTTGTCATCTTTTAGATTCACATATTGAGAAGAACATGACACATTTGTCTTTCTGAGTCTGGCTTATTTCACTCAACGTGATCTCAAGATCTGTCCACTTTTCTGTTAAAAATTTTGTTATGATGCCTGACGTGGTGGCGCACACCTGTAATCCCAGCACTAGGCAGGCTGAGACAGGAGGATCGCTGTGAGTTCGAGACCAGCCTGGGCTACATAGTGAGTTCCAGGTCAGACTCAAATACATAGTGAGACCCTGTCTCAAAAACAAACAAAAAAAAAAAAAAAAATTTTTTTTTTTTTTTTTTGTTATTTATGACTGAATAATACCCCACTGTGTGTCTATACCACGTTTTCTTTTTGTATTCCTCTCCTCAGGAACCTATGCTAGTACCATAACTGGGTATTGTGAATTGTGTCACAATAAACAAGGGTGTGCAGGTATTCTTATAATGTGCTGACTTTAATTCCTTTGAGTATATACACCAAGCTGTGATATAACTAGATCAAATGGTTGCTTTATTTTTAGTTGCCTTTGTTTTTGTTTAATTTGGTTTGTTGTTGTTGTTTTAAACAGGGTCTTACTATGTAGTTCAGTCTGGCCTTAAACTAAGGTTGGCTGGTCCTACAGTGGCAGCAATCCTGCCTCAGCCTACAAAGTGCTAAATTACAGGCATGTGCCCCCACATCCAGCTGTATTTTTAGTTTTCTGAGAAACCTCCATGACTGCTACAATGACAGTACAAATTTACACTCCCACCAGCAACCCAGAAGTGCTCCTCCCAATTCCTGCCAACATTTATTTTTTTTTGTCTTTTGTTTTTTGTATTCTGCAGTAGCCACTCTGACTGGGGTGAAGTAGACGCTCAGTGTGGTTTTGATTTGTATATCCCTAATGGCTAAAGATGTTGAGCATTTTTTCATATACAGGTACTGGCCATTCCTATTTCTTTTAAGCCCTGTTCAATTCATTGATTGGACTATTTGAGTTTTTGGTGTGTTTTTGAGTTCTTTATATATTCTAGGCATTAATTTTCCATCAAAAGAGTAGCTAGTGAAGATTTTCTCCTATTCTCTAGGCTATCTCTTTACTTTCTTAGTTTTTTTTTCCCTTGCTGTGCAGAAACCTAACGATGTAGTTCCAATTGTTAATTCTTGCTAGTACTTCTTGTACTATTGGAGTCCTATTGAGGCAGTCTTTGCCTGTGCCTAATTCTTTGTATTTCCCCTCCCTGTGTATTCTTCAAGCAGTTTCAAGTTGTTTGTAGCTTGGCTTTTGATCGATTTTGAATTGATTTTTATACAGGGTAAGAGGACTATAGTTTCAGGCTTCTGCAAGTGGACATCCATCTCCACTTTTTCCAGCACCATTTGTTTTTTGTTTTTGTTTGGTTTGATTTTGTTTTTTGAGACAGGGTCTGGCTGTGTAGTTCTCACTGGCCTTGAACTCACTTGTAGCCCAGGCTGGCCTTGAACTCGAAGCAATCCTCCTGTCTCAGCCTCCCAAGTGCTAAAATTACAGGTGTGTACCACTACCATGCTCTGTACCATTTGTTATTTTCGACTCCTGTGTGCAGAATCAGATAGCTGTGATTGGCATGGATTTTATTTCTGTGTCCTCTATTCTGTACCATTGGTCTATGTGTTATTGTTGTGCCAGTACCTTGCTATTTTCGTTACTATGACTTTGTAGTATAATTGTTCCCCCAGTACTAGGCATTGAACTCAGAACCTTCACACTGCACTACATCCCTTTATTTTTATTTTGAGAGACTAATTTACCCGGATTTAAATTTGTGGTCCTGCTACTTCATCTTCCCAGAATGGTGGAATTACAGGTGTTTGCCACCATACCCAGCTGAAATTAGACATCTTAATCTGCTTCGCTCTTTAGTTTTTGTTTGCTTGTTTGTTTGTTTGTTTGTTTGTTTGTTTGTTTGTTTGTTTGTTTTTGTGTTATAGCGATGGAAATCAGAACCTTGTGCTTGCCAGGCAGGTGTAATGCCACTGAGCTACGTCCCCAGCCCTGTTCTTTAGGTTTGCTTTGGCTATTGTGGGTCTTTTGTGTTTCCATACGAATTTTAGGATTATTTTTTCTTGTCCTGTAAGAATGTCATTGGTATTTTGATGGAGATACCATTGAACTTGTAGATCACTTTTGGTAATATAGCCATTTTAACAATATGAATTCTGCCAGTCTATGAATGTGAGAGTCTTTCCACCTTGCAGGGTCCTCTTCATTTTCTTCAGTGTTCTGAAGTTTTCTTTGTTAGAGGTCTTTTACCTCTTTGGTTAGATTGATTAGCAGGTATTTTACGTGAAGCTATTGTGAATGGAATGCTTTTCCTGATTTCTTTCTCAACTAACTCATTATTGATGTATAGAAGAGCTATTTTTTCTTAGTATTGAATTATTTCCTGTTACTTTGCTGAATTTATCAGCTCTAAAAGTCTTTCGGCAGAATCTAGAGTCTTCTAAGTATAGGATCATGTCATCCGCAAACAAAGATACTGTGTCTTTTCCCTTGCCTATTTATACTATCCTTTTTGTTTCTTTCTCTTGCATAGTTGCTCTAGCTAGAATTTGAAGAACTGCACTGAATATAGTGAGACTGAACATCCTTGTCTTGCACTGTTCATCTTCGAGAAATTCTGCCTTTCTCATTTGGAACTATAGAGTCATTTTAAATATTTTAAATATCCACGGTTGTGAAAATTAGTGCCTAAACTATAGTAGCCTTTTAAACATTTCCTTAAGAAATAAAACAAACTAGAACAAGCCGGTGATTAATGTGATAATTTTGTAGTACTTTATTTCATGACGGCTTTACTTTGGGGCATTAAATCACTGCTCATTTATCATGTCCCAAGCAAATCAGTCTTCTCTTTCCAATCTCTGTTAGATGAACTCTAACATTATCTAAGTCACAGACTTAGAAAATTAGGCTTAGTTTTCTTAGATATCTACTCACTGAAGCATGTGTTTTATATGCCAGGCATTTTCTTGCCTTTAGGAAGCTTAAACAGTACTTGCCAGGTCCTTTGGCTGTTTGGTATTTTTAGTTTAGAATTACCCTGTTTGCCTCTTTTCTGTTCCTAGTGCTTTTGCTCTCTTCTGTCCTGGATCTGAACTATTGTGACAGACTATTTATGAATAGCTTTTAAAGTTTCTTTTTAAAAAATTCCTAGCCATTTTGTTTCCAAATGTAGTTTTTGCCATGTTATCTTTCATCTGTGACTAATTACACTTTAGATCTTTTCTTCAATTTGTCATCAACTTACTTGAATACATTAGTCACATTTTAAAGTCCGTGTCTAATAATACATACATATCTGTTTCTAATATCTTTTTCGGTGGACTTTTGGTCATTTGGGCTTTTCTTCTGAGATGCTAGATAATTTATGTATAAAATGTTGTAGAAATAAACTGAAGCTTTTGGCCCAGGTATGTCCAGCTCGTGGGCCACAGGTTAGATACACCTACTTTGTTAAGCAGTGATTTATTCTTCCTGGGAGGACTTTTGCTTTTGGTAGGCACCTAGAGTGGGGCATATCTTCTTTTTTGTTTTGTTTTGGTTTGGTTTGGTTTTGGTTTTTTGACACAGGGTCTCACTATGTAGTGAGACTGACCTGGAACTCACTATGTAGCTCAGGCTGGTCTTGAACGCACAGTGATCCTCCTGCCTCAGCTTCCCGAGTGCTGGGATTACAGGCGTGTGCCACCACACCCGGCCATATCTTCTTGATAATCAGGGACTAGGCTGGTTAGAAGTTGGGCTTCATTCTTTTCACTTCACCTCTGTCCTCTTTGAGTGTAACCTTCTAAGTGTCCCCAGTGAAAGCCTGGTATGTTTACCAGGGCCACTTCTCTTGGTAGTCCAGGAAGTACAATTTTTGTAAATCTCAGTCTCAGCATATAGCAGGAAGCTGTGCTTAGCATTTCAGCTTCCCAGCTCTTCCACTTGAGAATTTAAAAAGTAGCACTATCTGTTGAGTTTACCTTTCTTCCCTATGCTCTAGATCTTGGACTCTCAAGTTCCTTGCTGCTTAGGTAGCTCTTCTGTCTTAACAAAGATTTTTAGGCATTTCTCTTTTTTGAGGGGGGTAGTATTGGAGATCGAATTCAGGACCTTGGCACTTGCAAGGCTGGCAATGGTAGCACTGAGCTAAATCCCATTTTCTGATTATTTACAACCTAGTCTACCCAAATCAGAGAGCACACTGCTAACGTGGATTGGGATGTAGAATAAAGAACAATGGAGACTTAGTGGGGCAGGAAGGGGAGTGAAACAGGGTCTCAGTAGTTCAGCGATGTAGCCTAGGTTGGCCTCAGTCTCATGGTGATTCTCCTGCCTCAGCTTCCCAGGTGCTGGGATCACAGGCATGTGCCACCAGGCCTGGCTCCACAGAGACATTTTGAACTTTTCTTGGTTCTAAATAGAAATGTTGGAATTATACTTTTGAAACTTTTTATTGGAGCAAATAGGCTAATGTTATAGAACCAAGATTTTTAGTACCAGTTGTCACACCCAGTTCCCAGAAGTTGATTTTTAAAATGAACCCATGCTTGAATATGTTAGTTACTTTTCTCTTGTTGCCGAGACAAAATACCCAGCACCCAAAATTAAATAAAGGAGTAAAGGTTTATTGTAGTTCACAGTTTGTAGAGGTTTCTGTTCATAGTTAAGTGTCTTGGAGGCAGGGTGGCCTGGCAGAGGAGTATTGTAAAGAAGAAACAGTTCATGGTGGGCAGAAGGCAGCAAGCAACTAAGTAATGAAGCAGCAAGAGGTGGCAGTTCTCTTTCTTTCCCTTACCCAGGTTACATGCATATAATGCGGGTAGCACTCACGCCCAGGGTGGGCCTTCCCATATGTACTCCCAGAACTATGCCAAACCAATCAGTGGAGGGATTTAGTAATCACACACTCTTGATCCCAGCCTCACAGATTTAATCCCAGGATCATACACTCTAGATCCACCCACCTGTAAAAAGCCCCACCTGTGAGACTTTGCCAGGACAACTGGACGCAAGCCATAACACTGGTGAAATGGCTATTTCCAGGGTGGGGCCTTGGAACACTTAATGGTGCTTGGAAAGCAAAGAATTGTTTGGAGATTAGTGAATCATGTCCAAGGGACACAGATGCTGGTTTAAAGAGTGCTGCCACTGGCTAAATTTGGCACAAACTAAGTATTAAAGTAAATACTGATGGCAATGAATCAAAACACACAGTAAAATAAAATCTTGGAGTACATAGTGTGATTTAAAAAAATAGCTGAATCTGAGGGTAGAGAAGAAGTAGCATATAGAAAGTTCATGTTTCTCCAGAAGTTATGCAGTAAATACAGAAGGAAACAGATTTGAAAATTCACCATTTTAGTTTCTATCCCCAGTATAATGGATTCAAACAAATATTGATGAATTCTAAATTATTGGGTGAAAGATCTTTGGAGAGTAAGATATTGTTGAATAGGGCTGGGGATTTAGCTCAGTGGCACAGTGCCTGCCTTGCAAGCACAAGATTCTGAGTTCGAAATCCTAGTACCACCCCACAGAAAAATATTGTTGAGTAGATATTTACAAGGTTTAATCAAAATATATGATGAGGCCAGAGATTTAATTTAGCTCAGTGGTGCTGCTGCCTGCCTCGCAAGAGCAAGGTCCTCAGTTTGTTTCCCGGTACCAAACAAACAAAAACAACAATAGCAACAACAAAATATATGGTAAATGTTTTACTTTTTTAAAAAATTACAGTAAAAAAACCACATTGCCATTAGTCTCCTTCAAAATACTTCCCCTTCTTTTGAACACACTTATCCCCTCCACTTTTTAACGCAGTTCTGGAAGTCCTATTTTATGAGTGTCTTTACAAGAGGTGATCAAAAATACAGAGAATGCTACTGCCAAGTGTCATCCAGTGGTAAATGTAGTTAGTTTTCCTCCACTTTGCTCACCAGACCCGGTTCCATGCAACTCTTGGCTCTTCCCCAAAGTCAAAACGAAAGGCAAACATTTTCGTGGATAACATCAGTATAGCAGCAACAGCGACACCACTACTTGTACTGCCTTCACCAAATGAGAAGTTTGATTTTGTCAATAATGGGCTAATTTGATACTGTATCCCTCTTGTTATGATTCAGTAAGATAGAGATACCAACAATGTATTCCTGCTAAAAGCAATGAACTCCAATTATAAGACATATACCAAGTGTGCGATAATGTATGACCAGCCTAAACTCCAATCCAAAGCCATTGTCACTACAAGCCATGATGAGGGGAAAGAGTCAGAGGCAATATTCTCAGTTATTGAAGAGACCTAATCAGAATGTGTATAGACCTTAATTAGAAAGAGAAGAACAAAAAAACGATATTTGGGTTGACAGTCGGAACAAAAAATACCAACCACATGTTGGGTGATATAATGGGATATGGTTAACTTTATGGTACAGTGAAGGTATACAGAGAATATTTTTGTTTTAGGGGATGCATGCTGAAGTGTTTGGAAGCCAACAGAAAGAAAACATGGCAAATGATAATTGATGAATCTTGGTGAAGGGTATTCAGGACTCTACCATTTCAACTCTCATGTAGATTTGAAAATCTTCAAACTAAAAAGTTGAGAAAGTTGCTTAAATTAAGTGGTAATTAAGATAATATTAGGCTGGGCGTGGTGGTGCACGCCAGTAATCCCAGCACTAGGAGGCTGAGGCAGGAGGATAGCTGTGAGTTTGAGACCAGCCTGGGCTACATAGTGAGTTCCAGGTCAGTCTTAGCTACACAGTGAGACCCTGTCTCAAAAAACCAAAAAAAGAAAAAAAAAAACAAAATTATTAGCCCCATGCTACTTGTACTAGCGTGTTGAGGTTGTTATGCTCTTAGTTTGTCTCTAGGTTGACACAGGTGGTTTTGGTTTGTGGGATAGATTCATAAAGTGATTGATTTGTCTTTTAACAGGTGCCTTGGAGCGCTACATTAACTGCCTAGATCTGGTAAACAAGAAGCTACCTTATGGACTTGCTCAGATTGGAGTGTGTTTTCATCCTGTTTCTTATGCTAAGCAGATACCTGATGGTGTTCAGAGGTATAAAATGTGGTGGTTAATTTGGCCTTGTATTTTAATAATGAAGACCCATCTCTGGGGACAGGTTTACATTTTCCAGATAAGCTAACTTTGATATTTTTGCTGTCTAAAGAATTGGTGAGAAGACCGAAGCTTCATTGGTATGGTTTACTTCTTCGAGGACTTCAAACCAGTGGCTTGATTTCTGGTTGCGTCATCGACTGCTGTGGTGGAGAAAGGTCCTACTCTAATTAACTTAATAGCTAACACATAAATTTTCTTAATGTGTCAGCGGTAAAGTGCTTGTATTACACGTGAAATTTGATTGCTACAGCTAGGTCATATTTGCAAGAGACAGCTCTAGTAAACTGACAAATACAAGTTTAAAACTTGGTAGTGATTTTCATTGTTCCAGGTGACGAGGTTACTTTTGTAGAGGCATTTGTTGTGCTCAGATGCTTTTGTTCATAAGCTTTTATGTTCGAGGGAGAGTCCCACGCCCTCGCCTGCATTCTGGCTAGTGTGAAGTTGGACCCTTGCCCCCTTGTTCAGCTTCAGCTTTTGGTTCCTTCCTCGATGAATTCTCCATCTTAGCCAAAATGGCTCTGTAATTTAAAATTAAGCTTTAGTAGATGGAGAAGTGGTGAAGCGGGCATTTTTGTCTGGCTGTTGTCCTATCTTTTCCCACCTCCTTTTGGTGGTACTAGGAATTGAACTGGGTAACATCTTCAGCCCTTTTAAAAAATTTTTTTGGGGTTTTTTTTTTTTTTTTTTTTTTTTT